TCCTCTTACACACAGGTGCAAGCCCAAACTGAGCCCAAACTGCTCACCTTGAGGCCATTTGTCCCCTACAAACAGCCTCAGACAGTCAGTGCTGCCCCAGGCCACCGCATTGCTCAGGATTGCTCAGCTTTGCACCATCTAGATTTGACTTTTTTCTTTTTTCTTTTTTCTTTTTTTTTTTCAGCAGCAGCAGCTGCTGGGCTGTGCCATGGTAACAGGCTTTCCTGGAAAGTCTGACTGCTGCATCTTCCCAGCAGTGAGGGAGCAGCAGGTCTCAGGCAGCCTGACCCCTTCTCCAGAGCCTCTGGCACCAAGCCCCAGCTCGGATGTGGAGAGGGGGTTTAGGAAYAGCAAAACAAGAAAAGCCATTGTGYATTGCCAGGTCACYGCTGCACCATCCTGTCASCAAGACACTGCTGTCACCTGGGGTGTCCCCAAGGGCTCCCCAAACAGCCCTCCTGGAGCTCATGGGGCTCTTTATSCCACAATTTTGGGGACCAAACCAAGCTGAGAGCAGCTGGGTGCAAACCCATCCCTGGCCTGGTGACCACCTGGGAGCCAGGCTCAGGCTGGGGGAGCCACCCAGGGCTAGTGGGGGTCAGGCCCAAGGACCCCCCAGCCAAACCTCCCCCTGACTCTGTCTCCATGGTGCCTGTCCCTCTCCACTCGCATTTCAACAGCAACAAACTGCTGGTAATGAGCTGTGTCTCTCTGCAGCTGAGAGCCTTCGAGATCAAAGATGCTCTTACACAAAACCAAAATATGATCAGTGGCCTTTAAAGGCCAGACTAAGCTTCTGAGGGAAAAAAAAAATTCAATTTTCTGTAGATCTAATTTGAAACCATTTTAATGCTCATTAAGATAGAGGGACCCAAGCAGATTGTGSAGGCTAGAAGACAGGGAAGGAAAAAAAGGAGTTATTATTGACATTTTAGTTTAGGTCTTTATTCTACCCAGAGCTCCCCACTTCTGAGCAGCAGCTTTGAGTAATGCTATTGTTAGCACCRGAATTGTAATTCCAATGTCCTTTTTATAACTGGCTTGGAAAAAAAAATAAATCCTGAAGGCTTTTACTAAATTCAAAGCAATTTRTAGTGGTAAAAAGAGATTTGAAAAGGGGAAAATGTGCAAGCCCCTGTGCTGTTTCTCGCTGTCATGGRGTGGACATGATGTTCACCCTCCCTGGGTGGCCCCTCTGCAGCACCTTCCTGGGTTGCTCTATGGTGGGGGTGAAGGAAGGGACCCCAGGGGGTGTCTGATGAGGATATGAGGGTGAGTCCCAGYTTGGTCACCCTCTGGAGCCACATCCCAGAGTCTGCTGGGTGCCAGCCCTGGGGACAACTGTCCTGAGGGGTAACACGTCCCTCAGCAGCACCCAGCTCCATGCCTTGAGCCCAGGGATGGGATGGGGATTGGATACAGCCCCATGGAGCTTTTATTTGYCACTGTCTGTGAGTATTTGTGTGGAAATACAAGAGTTGGTAAAAGCAGGTGCATCTGCCCCATGGATGAGGGTGGCACGGTGGCAGATGGGCATGGTCAGAGCCTAAACCAAAGGAGCTTGAGGTTTTGGGTTGCTTTTCTCTCTAAAAGTATTGCTGACAGTTCTGGTTAATAAGACAAAGATTCTGTTCCAGTGTCCTCCCAACTAACTTGAATTTTGCTTTGCAGCAGTGTGAAATGGTTTGGAGTGTGTTAAGTGGATTTGTTTTCCTTCACCTCCTAGTATTTAATTGTACTTCTATAAGAGTGCAAGACGGCCAATTTAAATCTGGAATCAGATTGTCTGTTAGTTATAGTCACTTCTCTTGCACTGTATTACAGCAGCTGCTCGATTTCTGGCTCTCAAACATCTTTATTAGGGAGTAAAAAAATTTGAGGCAGAAATCCATGCTTAACACAACGCCTTCTACAGCCACCTGAAAGGAAGGTGGAGCCTCATGGGGGTYGGGSTCTTCTCCCAGGKARCAGGGATGAGAGGAAATGGCCTCAACTTGTACCAGGRGARGTTTAGGYTKGATATTAGGGAAAAWTTCCTCACCAAAATGGTTGTCCAGCTCTGGCATAGGCTACCMGGCRGTGRAGTCACCATCCCTGGAGGGATTTAAAGGCCAAGTGGATGTGGGGACATGGGGATTTGGGGACATGGGTCAGTGGTGGCCTTGGCAGTGCCGTGGGAGCGGTGGGGACTCGGTGACACCGGCGGATTGTCCCAGCCCAAAGCGGGGCGCTGCTCGCTGCCATTCCGCTCCGCGCCTGCAGAGGGCACCAGCGCCCCGAAATGGCCCTGCCACTCCCGGCCCCGGGAGGCGCCAGCACCGGGACACCCGGGATGCAACTTGGGAGAGCCCTGGATAACGTGGACCCATCCACCATGGGATATTCCTTCAGGAGAGCTATGGATAGCAGGACCCATCCACCCTGGGGCATTCCTTTAGGAGAGCCCTGGATAACACAGACCCATCCATCTCGGGATGTTCCTTCAGGAGAGCCCTGGATAACACGGACCCATCCACCCTGGGACATGCCTTCAGGAGAGCCCTGGATAACACTGACCCATCCACCCTGGGATGTTCCCTCAGGAGAGCCCTGGATAACACTGACCCATCCACCATGGGACATTCCTTCAGGAGAGCCCTGGATAACACTGACCCATCCAACCTGGGATGTCCCTTCAGGAGAGCCCTGGATAACACTGACCCATCCACCCTGGGATGTTCCCTCAGGAGAGCCCTGGATAACACTGACCCATCCACCATGGGACATTCCTTCAGGAGAGCCCTGGATAACACTGACCCATCCAACCTGGGATGTTCCTTCAGGAGAGCCCTGGATAACACGGACCCATCCACCCTGGGATGTCCCCTCAGGAGAGCCCTGGGTAACACGGACCCACCCCCTGAATCCCATCCCAGGCTGGATCCCAGCACTTCTCCCACCCATCTCAGTCCAGCACAGAGCACTGGGCRATGCTGGCTGTCTCCTCCCAGCGCTGTCCAGCCCTGGGATGGGGATGGGGATGAGGACATCCCTGGCTCCATCCCTAGCACCTCACTGAACCAAATAACCCCACCTTTAACTGCAGCAAATACAGCAAAATTATTGGAAAAGCTCTTGTGGGAATGTGCCATTGTCCTTGTTTCCCCTGTGCTGCGGGCCCTGTGGGTGGGAATGTGGGAATAGTTTCTGCTTTAGGAAGAAAACCAAACCCTGACATGTGTTTTCTGGCCTATTTTGACCTCAAAAAGTTCAAGTGAGAAGATGTGTGTTTTGGCAAAGGATACAGTGCGAAGGATACAAGCACACAGTTGTTCCTGGTGTGTGGGGACAGGACTGATCCCAGCTCAGGGAAAAGCCCTGGCAGTGGCTTGGGGAGAGTCCCTCAATTGCCCCTGGAGCCTCACTATCCCACTGGAGAGGATGGTCCTTGGATGGATGGGAACCACAGGGTGACACCCAGAGACACAAAATGTTTGGATGTCCCACAGTGCTGTGTCCAGCCGCAGACATTTCCATTTTGGGAATGTGAACTCACATGRTTCCCCAAATTTGACAGTGTCTGTACAGCACAGTGTGATGGAAACTGAAGCACTTCAGCCACTGGTACAGCCAGGGAAGCAGACAGGAGTCTTCCCRCTCCAGATTTAGCTCTTTATTGATTTTCCAGCTGCATCCATCAGTCATTGTCCCAGTGCTCAAATTACCCATTAGAGACATCATAGAAATGAGGGGAAAACAAGACAGGGTTGCGGTTTTGATGAAAAATGTTAAACAACCCAAACAGCAACTTCTGGAAGGAAAACTTGTCCTTTTTAGGCTGGGGACTGGGTTACATTTATTCTTGAACAGCTCAGAGGCACTGAAGGCTCCTGGCTGCTCGTAGTCCAGGGCTTGATCCTCTCCTGGCTCCGGTGGCCCTTACTCCCTGTGCCACTGGCAGTGCTGTGATGTGCAGGAGAATTCAGAGGCCCCCATTCCAGTTTGTCACCCATGTCAGACGCAAGGATAAACACAAAACCAGTTCCAAAATCTGCATGACTGCACCAGAGTGGACAGAATGTCCTCCATCCATGATGCTGCTTCCCCTTTCCTACACTGACCCTCCTGCTGGTGGCTGCAGCTGGGTCACATCCTCCAGGTCTGTCCCAGGGACCTCATCTGTCTGTTTGAGGTGTTSCTGGGATTAGAGGGACGTTCCCTGTGCTTGCCTCCATCATCCCCACAGCTGCAGTGTGGAGGGACCAAAGGGCCTGGAGCTGGAGATGCTCTTGACACCCATCCACGTGGAAATGCCTTTCCTTAGAATTTGACTCTGTGAATTTGATTGGATGAGAGGGAATGGCTTTAAACTGAGAGCAGGTTTGGATGGGATATTGGGAAGGAATTCTTCCCTGTGAGAGTGGGGAGGCCCTGGCATTGTCCAAGGCCASGCTGGACAGAGCTTGGAGCAATCTGGGACAGTGGGAGGTGTCTCTGCCCATGGCAGGGGTGGGACAAGATGGGCTTTAAGGTCCCTTCCWACCCAAACCATTCTGTGATTYTAAAAATAAATCAGTGACTTCCACCTTGTAAAAAGACTCCCACCCAAGGAGCTGCATCGTGTCCCTGTGGTTCACCAAGGCAGCAGAGGGGATGTCCCCAGGGTCCCCTCCTGCACCCAGAGGTGTCCCCAGAGGGGAGGCTGTGCTGGCTGTGCCCAGGGCAGGGCTGGCTGTGCTGACTCAGCAGCACACACCCTGTGTAAACGCCCGCCAGCTGCTGCCCCGGCCGCTGTTTGCTTAGCCTGTGCTGCTCTGTTTGCCTTTGGGATCACGATGGAAGGAGATGATGGCCTTTGGGCCAGAAAATGAGGCAAGGCAGCTCCAGGCACCTGTTTCAAGGATCCTCCAGCATCTCTGCTCCTCCAGCTCCTGCCCAGGCTGCTCAGTAACTGCAACCCACCAGCAACACCCAAATTAAATCAGCCACAGAGCTCTAGGAGCTACAGAAAAATGCACTCATCCCAGCATAACCCAGCTGCCACACAGCCAGGAAAATTATTTATTATCATTTCCTTGCAACAGAGATATGGAAAAAAAGCACCCGCCCTCCCCAGGTGCAAACAGCAGCAGCTGCAGCATCCACGTAGGGATCTATGTACATCACAGTGTAAAGTCCATCGGGAAAAAAATTCAATCCAAGTTTAAAAAAAAAMAAAAMCTCACAACCTAAAACCAGGAACCAGAAAAAAATGAAGTGGTTGAGAAAATAGGTTTGGCCCCTCCCTCTTGCTATAAAATATATACTTCTAAGGCGACSTTTCACAAGACCAGAAGCGAGGTTCCTAAAGAGTCTGAGCGTGCAGCCGAGGACACCGCACAGGCACCAATCCCACAGGAGAAGCTACTGCAGACACGAGAACCTCCACCCACGCTGTGGCCTCAGTGGTCAGCGTAGTCCTTGGTCTCCACCCCGGTCTCGTTGAGCACCGTCGTCCTCATGATGGCCTCGGTGACCGCGTAGGGGTCGCAGTTGGCCGCCGGCCGCCGGTCCTCGAAGTAGCCGCAGCCATCCTGGCCGACCTGGCGCGGGATGCGGATGCTGGCACCTCGGTTGGCCACGCCAGCAGAGAACTCGAAGATGTTGGAGGTCTCGTGGTGGCCGGTGAGGCGYCGGGAGTTGTCCCTGCCGCCCCGCGGGTCGTACACACAGATGTGGTAATCGTGCCGCTTGCTCAGCTTCTCAATGGCAGCTTCGATGTGTCTGTGCAAGAGGAGAGGGGGATCAGTGGGGCCATCTAGGGGGTGTCACCCCCTCCCCCTGTGCAGGGACAAGGACAGCCCAGGGGACACCCTCAGATGATCAGCTGCTTTTGAAATAACGAGCTGGAACAGCCCTAATGCTGCCTGGTGCAGCCACACAGGTAGTGAGACACTTCCACATGGCCCAGGGTCCCTCCAACCTCCCAGGTACATCCCAGGGAGCCCCCCACAATTCACTTGAGTCCTGAGACTCCCCTTGAGACCCCTCCAGGACTCACTTGAGCCCCCCCTCTCTCCGCATCTCCTCGGTGCTGTAGTTGGTGTGACACCCGGCACCGTTCCAATTGCCCGTCATCGGTTTGGGGTCCAGCGTGGCCACGACCCCAAAGTCCTCGCAGACGCGGTGGAGGATGAACCGAGCCATCCACAGGTGATCCCCCATCTCRATGCCTTCACACGGGCCCACCTGGAATTCCCACTGGAAGGGATGAGCAGATAACAGGTGAGGTTGGGCAGGTGGGTCCCTCCCCAACTGCCACACCCCTGCCCCTCCTGGCCTGCATTTGAATGTTACCCTTGGGAGACAGCAMTGAGGATGGGGAGCACCCAGTTAAGCAACAACACAGCTTTGGAATGCAAAAAAAAAATGGGAATAAACCGCTTCTGATTACACAGAGCAAATCAGAGGGAGTTTTAACACCCATCCACGTGGTAAATAAGCATCACATGTGACTGAGGCTAGTGCTGGAGCTGCTGTGTGGAGGACCCCCAGCCCACACTGCAAACAGGGTGGAGGATTAGCAAGGAGTCTGTCAGTCCTTGCCAGGGCTGCTCCCTGCCCGGCTGGAGCCAGGGTTGCACCACCCACGGTGACTAAGCACAGGGTGACGTCCTTACTGCTGCTGGCATGGAAGGGCTTGAGCCCAGGCTGCAGAATGAGGCCAAGGAGGACTCTGGAGAAGTTGGGGCAAACAGCGGGGTCGGTAAAAGTCCTATCTAAGCTCCACAGCTGATAAGCCCCTGCTTATCACCGCCACATCAGCAGCAGGGGAGTCAGGGACCCACAGTCGGTCAGTCTGGCCACCTGCCTAATGCAATCAGGGACTCCCTACTGCTCAGCCCTAGATAAACCCAAATCCTCCCCAGCCTCTCCCCAAGGCCGTGCTCCACCCAAACTTCCCGGTTCCCAGGTAGCAGAACAGGGCTCAGCCAGCCCTCACTGCACACGGTGACCCCGCAGCCTGTCCCTGCTCCTGCTGTCCCCTGCATCCCTGCTCCCAGCTCTGCTCCAGCTGAGCTGTGTAAGGAGCTCAGGGTGAGTTAGGAGAAAATTAAATGTACATTTTCATTCCAGCGGTACAGCTGCTCCCGTGTTAGGAGTCACTGGTTCTCTATTCCAGAGGAGCTGGGAGCTGCTGGGTTATTCCAGCCCCACAGTAATTTGCATCACTGGGAATGGGCGGCCCGGGGCCATCCACACCTACCTGGGAGGGCATCACCTCTGCGTTGGTACCACAGATCTTCACCCCCGCGTACAGACAAGCCTTGTAGTGGGACTCCACGATATCACGCCCGTACACCTTATCTGCTCCAACCCCGCAGTAATAGGGGCCTGGAAAGGACAGGGAGTCACCACCCAAGGAAAGCTTTGGGRGGCAACAACAGCATTGCAGCACAATCCCACACTCCCAGGTATCTGCTGCCACGGGCAGAGGATTTATGGGAAATAAAAGGATGTTTCTCTCCACAGAACATCAAACCACCGATCCCATCTCCAGCACCAGCAGCCTGAGCAGCTCATCTGTGCAACCTCAGCCTTATCTGGGCAGTTAAATAAGACTTGTAACACATCAGCTGGGAGGTGGCCAGGAGATAAGGAAATCTTGGTCTGCCCTGGGGCACCTCCCTGACCCTCTGAGCACATCAAGCGTCCGAGATTGTTCTGACAACAGCTGGCATTGTTCACGGCTAGAAAATCCAACTCGCTGGGGTTTGATATCTTCCTCATTCAARCAGGGTAGGCAAAGATCTTCTCCCAGCCTGGGGGAAGGGAGATGTTGCAAGCAGCCGGTCCAAACAAAAACCAGGTTGGGAAACCTCTGGCTCTCCCCCAGCTGAGGAGCTGGCTCGCTGCTGCAGGAGGGCACAAGGAGCCATGCCAAGCCCTTTCCCCAACAGCCATGGGGAGGAGGTTTTTCCAGCCCAGTTCTCCAGCCCTTGCCAAACAAGTCGTGCAGCTGAGCTGTTTGTGCAAGCAGGGTCCGGCGGGAGCGGCCCCGCGGCTCACGTGAGCCACAGGCCACCAGGTGCTCTCTGCAAACAGCTCCTACCTGGGGCCATCCCTGATGGCAAAGCTGCTCCGAGGCTGGGGATGGGATTACAGCCACCAGCAGCACTCCACAAGCAGCAGGGTGGGAGCTGAGGGGAGAATTTAGGCCAGGGCAGGGAGGGAGCTCTTACCCTGCGGGCCAGGGAAGCCGTTGTCGGGCCAGCCGTAGGGGTGGCCGTTGATGCCCAGCAGCGTGTACTCCTGCTCCATCCCGAACCAGGGGTGGCTGTCCTTCACCAGGTCCATCACTTTCTTGCACGTGTGTCTCAGGTTGGTCTCTGGGAGYAGAGAGGTCCTGGTTAGAGCCAGCACTCACCACGCTCTGCTCCATCCCACTCAGCTCCACTGCTGCCAAGCACTTGCCACAGAAGCCTTAAGGAAATCCTGAGTGAATCCCCGTTCCTGTTCACCAAATTCCTCCTTGCAGTTACTYCATCACCAGAGCATCAGGCCACAGGTCAAGAAGGTTTAATTATCCTGATCCCCAAACCACTGTGACRGTCCATGAACATCCTCCTCCTCTTACTCACAAGGAGACCAGGAGTCTTACCCCAGCCCCACCATCCAGGCATCCAGTAGACCTGGGAACAGGGACTGTACAGCTTCCATCAGTCCTTCACTCCCACCCTCTTTCTACCAGCTTCATCTGAATTATTCTTATCTTTCTCCAGCTCCATGGTTTTGGTTGGCATCCAGACTGGCTGGCCCTGCCTTGGCCTTTTGAGGTGCTCAAGGCAACTGGGGCTTTGCCAGGAAAACACAGATATCAGAGAACAGTCCAGACATGGAACAATGTACCAGGCAAGGGGAAGGAGAGCTTGGACCAAGATATCTGAAAAGCTGCCATCACAGGGAGAGGCAGCCTCCAGGCTGCACATTCTGCCTCAACTTGCAGTAAAAGCCCCAAAGCAGCTACAACAGAGCATGGGGCTACAGGGAGCAGTGAGAGAAAGAAAATTTCTTTCCCTGAGCCCACACAGCCCCTAAGGTCCATGGGAACCCACCACGGGAAGGGCTGGAGGGTGCATCCCACTGGTCAGCAGGGCTCTGGGCTGAGCTCTCTCTGCCCCGGAGCTCCAGAGTCAGGGCTCTCTTCACAAACTGTGTCAGCGGAGGAGCTGCCTCGCTGGAATCTCGACCAAGACACTTCCCCCCACCCGTGGCTGCTAGAGGAGGAATCAGCCCCATATTTCACCATCCTCGCCCGCAGCCCCCGCTCTCCCGGCAGACGYGCATCACCCGCAGATGCCCTCTCCCTCCCCCTCGCAGCCAGCGGGGCACAGCCCTGCTCGGCTGGCAAATATCCGCTTCTTTGCCGGCAAATAACCCCTCCGGGAGCCCCTCAGCGCGTCCCTGCAAACAGGCTCCTCTTCCTGTGTCTGAGACTTTATCAGAGGGACAAGACGGACTGCAGACTTCTGCGACTGAACGCTCGGCGATAAGACGGAGAGCCGGYGCGTTCTGGGGCTGTTTGCAAAAGGTCACTCTGAGCCAGCACACGCCGTCTCAGCATCTTYTCCTTCCTTTTCTGCAGCCTCCCACCAACGGGGAGAGCAACCACAACCCAGCGTGTTAAAATCGCCCGCACTTCCAGCTCCTGCTGCCCCCGGGGCTGAGTTCACTCGGGCTCAAGAGCCGGGAGACGCCTTTGGCGAGTGCCRAGAGCGAGCTCCACGACTCGCTGCTCTCCTCCTCGCCCTGTGCCGCTAAAACAGGTTCCTGCAAACAACCGCCGCCACCAGAGCTTGGATTTCGGAGCCTCAGGCCAAGTGCTCGGCGTTGAGCTGCGCCCCGGGGCCAGCGATCCAGAGCAAGCGGCGCCTGGGGGAGGTGGCACCCTAAATAATACGGGGGTGACCCTCGGGAGCCGCGGGGTGCTCGCTGGAGGTGCTCACCTGCGGGTTTCCTGTTGTACTTCAGCACTTCGCAGAGCACCAGCTTGTTGGGGTCCAGGCAAAAAGGGTCCCTGAACATGGACACGGGCACCAGGAACATGTCACTGTTGGAGCCCTCTGCCTGTGCCGTGCTGGAGCCATCGAAATTCCACTCGGGGACATCTGCAAGGAAGAAGGGGGAAGGAGGAGGGAGTGACGTTGGGCAAAGATCCACATACGGATTGCGCCGAGTACCAGCGGCTCAGATCCAGGATGGAGCACCCAAAAGGCGCTGAGTTCCATGGGATGACRGCCTCAAAGGTTTTCTTGCACATCCCAGGAGCCCATCAGGGTCTTCACCCCCGGCACCATCAGGCATGGACAGATCAGTCCCAGCCACTCCACATCCCTCCGCCAAACCCCGTCCAGATGCCRACACATCTCCGTGCCTGTTTGCCTGGTGGAAAGGGGCGAGGAACTCATCCTCCCCTTCCCGCCCTGCACTAATAGCAGAGATTAGCGGATTAGGCAAACCGCAGGGACGCAGGTTGGGTATTTACCCTGCTGCTTGGTGCAACAGGTATCGCTGGTGCCACGCAACCAGGCAGAGCCGGTCCCAGCTCCCGCCGCCCAGAGCGCCCCAGAAATCTTCCCAGGAGATGTTCGGGGCCCTCCACCACGCCACCCATCACTCGGAGGGACAACAGCGGCGTTACCTTCGATGCTCTTGGGCTCCTTATCGAGGGTCCTGCTCTTGCAGCGCACGCCCTCGCCGCTGCCGTCGATCCAGACGTAGGTGACCTGCACTTTGCCATCCTGGGGCAGCCTCATGTACTGCTCCCGCACCAGCTTGTTCAGCCTGGAGCTGTGCGACACCGACATGGCGACGGCCCTGCGAGGGCGCACAGGTGAGTGCCACATCACCCCCGCACCATCACCCCACGGCTATGTTCAAAATCAACCTCCCAGCCCAAAATCGACCGCCCGACCGCCCCACCTCGGCTGTGTCCCCCAGCCAAGCGGAGTGTCCCTGGCGGGACTCGAACTCKCGATCCCCGCGCTCACCGGCCCCAGCGCTGCCCGCGCCCGCTCCGCCCGCGCTTTAAAGGCGCCCGCGGTGGGGGCGGTGCGGACGCGGCTCCGCCCCCACCCCCGGGACACCCACTGAGGACGTTGGGTATTGTTTTCTTTYCTTGTTAAAATATCACTTACTAAAAACGACGGTTATCGCACGGCTAAAACATCACTTTATTTAAAAAGTAGTGAGTTACTGGCTAAGTAACTACTTCATTTAAAAAGTAGTAAGTATTACTCACTGAAAATATAGTTTTCCACCTTCCATCCCCTCTCCGCGTGTGTCGTCCCTCTTGGCCCCTTGTTTGTATAGGGTTGCCCTCTTACACGTGGGTAGGTGTTTTTCTCCCAGCCCCGCTACGCTACCGTGGGGTGGGGAGCTGGGRTGGGTGTTGGGGTGTGCTCCCCCCAGCACCCCAAAAGCCTGGCTGGGACCATGCCCTGGGGAAGGGTGACGTGTGAGAATGGGTCAGGGTGGTCCTGGCGACATCAGTGACAGCCAGATCCCTGGGGACAGAAACAGCCAGATCCTTGGGGACAGAGGCAGATCCCTGGGGACAGAGGCAGACCCCTGGGGACAGAAACAGCCAGATCCTTGGGCAGGGAGGCAGCCAGATCCTTGGGGACAGAGGCAGACCCCTGGGGACAGATCTCTGGGCAGCCAGATTCCCAAGGGCAGGGGCTTGCAGATGCCTGGCTGCCCCACCGCTGCCTCTCTCCCCAGATCCTGCCCTGGACACCCCATGCATTTCCCCCTTCCCACCCAGCTTCAGCCCCGTTGTAGCTGCAGGGCTGTGTTTGCCCCCAAGGCTTTCCTTCAGAGGGAGGAAAGGCTGAGGGTTGCAGGGAGAGCTACAGCGAAAACACTGAAATTTCCTGCTTCAGCCCTTCCCYTCCATAAACCGCCCAGTTAAAGTACAATTTTTAAGCACCAGAGCGCAGTACAGTCTCTTTAAACCCCCAACTACCCACGCTCAGCACAGGCTCTGCTGTGATTTACAGTCAGCTAAAAATCCTAAGCCAACAGGTGTGAATCTGAGTCGATTATTTCAATATAGCAGCAATTTCCAGCTATTGAGCCGAACGCAGATCCAATTAGGTGAATTAAACGCCTCGCTGCCTTCCTCGTTTTCCATAGATCCTGCGTTAGAGGCTCCCACGTGTCAGAGCAGAGCAGACAGACCCCAAACGTGACGATGCAGAATCACGGGCACAGCCGGGAGCAGCCCGTGTCGGCGCCTTAGGGGCTTATCTCAAACACTCTTCTAGGTTTTTTGGGAGGAGGGTGAGATTCCAAACAACCCCTCCCCAGCAAACCCGGCGGGGTGAGCGCATCTCGACTCCCCAGCCTCAGGTTTCGAGTAGTTTTTCCGATGTTACAAAAGGAGAAAAGGCTTTAAGGCATGACTGGGCCCTAAAGCAGCTGTGCTTTTGCTAATTCCCCCGGTTCTTAAGGCAGACTCATGCTTGWGGCTGCCTGACTCACCCCCAGGAATGTTTYTCTGMAAAACAATAAAACATCTGCACCAGGGCAGCTAAAAAAAAAAAACACTTCACGGTTGATTGCCCCCCCCAGGACATCTCCTCCCCGGGCACTGACCCAAGACATCAGCTCTGTTTTTCTTCTGAAGGTGTTTTGGTCCCGCAGGCAGATAAAGAACCGGGAAGAAACCTGAAAGCACTTGGGATTGCGCAAGAACCAGGAAACGAGATTGGCAGCGAGAGAAGCAAAACTTAATTAGCGATTTTGGTGACCGGGCGGTGACATCAGTGGCAGCGGGCTGCGGGCAGACCAGACGTCACCCACCCCACAACCCGTGGGTGCTGCCCCGAGCAGAGCACCGGGAAAGGAGGTTGGCACCCAGGGATGTGCCCAAGGYCCCTGGGCAGAGCCACACTGGGCTCTCCCGTGTCCCCGATGCCGCCCCGGTGACATTCAGAGCCTCCTGCCACTGAAGCTGAGGTGCAGCTGGAAAGCAGCCACCTCCCTCTCCGGGGTATTTTAGGGACACATCCACGAACGGGGTTGCAAAGCTCAGCATTTCCTCATTCTTGTTTGGAAATSGTCCCAGGGCGGGAGGAAATGCACCCCTGGGTGTGCAGCCGTTTCCCGGAGGCGTTGCAGCGCGGAGCCGGCGCCGGGACGGGGAGGTGTCAGCGGCTCTGCCGGCTCCTTGGCTCCCTGCTCCCATCTCCATCCCGCCTGGGGAGCTGGGGCCCACGGCACCGGCCTCAGGGCTGGAGAAACAGGGGCTGATGCTGAGCAGGAAGCTCAGAGATGGATCTGCATCCCTCGGGAAGCATCACAAACCCCACCCGAGGAGAGGAGAGCTGCTTCTCCAGAGCCTGGAGCTCTGCATCCTTCACAGCCAGTGGGAGCAACACCACTGTGGTCACTGTGATCCGAGGGCTCAGCCAACACCCTGCACATTCTGACCCAGCAGGATGTGGCAGACCCTCAATTTATTCCCAGGGAAAACTCTGCCTGCCCTCCTGGATGTGCCCACCTGGGCAGAAATATCCTGGAGCTGCAGTGGGCTCAAAGAAAGGGAGAAATGAAACAAAATCCAGGCTGTGTTAATGCTCACCAGGAACCTGGGYTGGGAAGCAGGGCTCCTCTGGGGCCAGTGGAATTACTGAGCACCAAAACACCCAAAAGGGGAAACCAGAATAAACACCAATAATCCCTCCCCTGATCAGAGCCCCACCACCACGGGAGGGCAAACACGGTGTGGTTGTGGTTGTTTGGGGACAGCAGGGACAGCACCAGCCTGTGGCTGCACAGCCRTGGAATCACAGAATTCCTAAGGGTGGAAAAGATCCTCGAGTCCAGCTGTTACCCCAGCACTGCCGAGGCCACCACTAAACCACGTCCCCAAGTGCCCTGGTCCCATCCCTGCCCAAACACCACCCCCGAGGCAGCTGGCCAAATACACAAAATTGTTTCATACCAAAAGGGATTTTAGTAAGCAGGAAAAAAAACCTTTCTGCCATATAAGGCTGGGCACCTGCTTAGTCAGTTTTTCCTGGGATCAAGTCTTACCTCACCACATTCTAATTCCATTTCTATAGCAACAACTCTGCTACAGCAACAACACCGAGCACARTGCACACCTGGATCCTCCAGGCCTTTGGATAATGCTCTGCCCCAAACAAGCCCACGTTCTCTGCAATCAGCAGGCTCCTTCTGCTCCCCTCCACGCCAGGTACAGCAAATATTAACCACCACGAGGCTCCCAGCTCAGGGAATCAGTGACCGGCCCAAGGTCGGGCGGGTGGTGAGGCTGAGGGCGGGCAGGGAGCAGGGGTGTCCTTGGAGAAGGAAAAGGTCACAGATTAAATCTCCAGAGGACTTTGAGAAGCCCATTCAGAGCCATAGCTCAGAGGGGTTTCTCTATATGCAGGACAGCAGGAAGGGAGCTGATCCTGTTTGCTGCAGCCATCCCTCTGCAGGGTTATCTGGGGTGTCATCCCACAGGGATGCAGGATGGGGCAGAGCTGCTCCCATTCCCAGTGCCTTTACTTTGGGTGATGAATCAGTCTGCAGGCAGCCTGGAGAGCCCTCCTGGGGACACCTGGCCAAGGYCTAAATACTTCCAGTTTTTATCGCTCTGACTTTGAGGCTTTATCAGCCCGAGCATTTTCCAGCCTTCCCAAAACACACCAAAGGTGTTTTTTTTACTTTGAGAGGAGAAATAAATCCTTGGGGAATTTTTCAGATTGAAAATCTTCAGTAACACAACATGTTTTACCACAAAGGGGTTAAACATGGACTAATTTACCTTATGGGGTGACTTTCAACACCTTTCCCCTGGTTCTGCAGCAGGGCAGGGCCTTGGCTGGCAGATCCCTCCCTACAATTGTCCGAGAGGCATCATCCCTGGGCACAAAGCAGGGATATCCAGATGAAGAATTTGGGTTTTACTCTAAATCCTCCTCCAGGATTCAGGATGCTGCTCAGAACTGCAGGAGTTTCTCTCAGGTTGTTAAACCCAAAGTATCTCCCAGAGCCCTGGACCACGGAGCCCCACGGGAGAGCATTCCCTCTCCCCGAGCTGGGTCTGAACAACCCGGGGTGGTTTTTGTCCTGCCAAACAGTTTGATGGGGAGATTAGAGGGGAGGCAAAGAGCACGATCGGCAGGAGGAGCCCAGCACAAACACCATAAAGGGATTAGAGGGGCTGGGGGCAGAGCAGGTGGGAATTTTCCTGCACGCTAAGCTGGAAGAGACGGCTTTTTCCAGCTGAGGACACCAGGGGGATGCTGTGGGGGAAGGAACCGGCTGGGAATGTGCAGGGATGTGGCACGAGGTGGCCAAGGTGGCTCAGATCTGCACTGAAGAGTCCAGCAGAGACCACCCYGTGCCCAGGGGCTGCACTGGCATTYSCCTGTCCCCAGCACAGATTTGTGCTTTTCCTGTGAAGCAGCTGAACTGACAGTTTTTCTTTACAGTTAAAACACATTTACACAGCAGCAAATCTCCTTGGATTTGTACCCAAACCACTTTGCCTTCATTCAAGTAGTGCTGCCAAACTTTTCTCTGCACACACATATAAATACATATAAATACATATAAATACATATAAATACATATATGTATGCACATACACATCATTCTTTATGTCAGACCTGAACAGCCTGGGAACCCACAATCCCAACTCCAACAGCCTTTCAGTGACCCCCAAAGCACCCTGCACCAACCCAGTAAATCTGAGATCCTCCTACTCACACTCACCCCACCCATTTCCCCAGAGGCAGGACACTGCACCCCTCACTCCTACCCCAAGGGAAGTCCACAAGACCCCAAATTTTGATTTTCCTCCTCTCTTCCCTTGTAGGGCTGGTGGCTCCAGCAGCACCAGCCCCATGCAGGCAGGAGAAACCCATGGCAGGAGGTTCTCCTGGGACTGTGGAGGCTCAAACACTGCTCTGCACCAGGCAAGGAGGGACTTGCAGCAGCTCCTTGCTGTCCTTCAGCCCTCACATGCATGCAAGGGGGTGTTTGAGCGTGGCT